GGCTCTGTTGCTCTTCAAAGCATATCAAAGTGGGTGACTGGCACCTGAGTGGATACTGGCTTTGGGGATTCGCTAGGCAGCACCCGCATCTGCACACATGTATAGTAAAAAAGTATCCTGACTCTGAGGGGGGATCAGTTCCTGGCACATTAGGGGAAAGAGATCACTTTCACAGCGTTTTGGTGACCCCGATGGGGTGGCCATAAGACCTTGCCTGGACCATCCTGCTGCCCCTGAGAAAGAAGAACTGACCCGAACAGGATTCCAGCATCCACTAGCCAGTTGGTTGGAGACTCCCCCTGAATCCTCTTCAGCATCATGACAGTGAGCAACTCTGAGGTGCAATGCTCCAGAAATATTTGAGCAAGGGTGGAAGGGGAGATGGAATTCTTGGATTGGCAAGTACACTGTTGTTCCTTTTTCAAATTCCTTTTGCAAAAACTTGTAGGTTTATCAGTGTGACCTATCAGTGGGATCAGTCTCCATGTAAGTCACAAGGAGACACTCGGCAGTAAGCCTTAATCAATCAGTGGGATAGGAGCAGTGTAACTACTGAACATCCAGACCTAAGGGTAAAGGACTTGGGTAACTTAAATATTATTAAATTGAATGATGGGAACAAGCCAATCCACAGTTCCTCCCTTTAGCCCTCTAGGATGCATACTGAAAAATTAGATTAAATTTGGGGGTGATCCAATGACAAAAGAAAAAATTAAGAGATTTTGTAGTCAGTGGTGGCCACATTATTAATTGGAGGATGGGAAAAGAGGTCATTGCAGTTTAATATTATCTTACAGTTGATGTTGATTTGTCAATGACTTGGTAAATGGGTTGAGGATTTTTTTATGTTGATGCTTATATGACATTGTATAGAGATCCAGGTTAGCGAAGGCATATAGTGCTTTTGGAAAACTCCATAAAAGAGTATGGCGTAATAAACACTTGAAGAAAAGTACCAAGATCAGTGTTTACAGAGCCATAGTGCTGTCTACTCTCTTATATGGTTCCGAATCATGGGTCATCTACCGCCACCACCTGCGTCTCCTAGAACGCTCCATCAACGCTGCCTCCGTACAATCCTAAACATCCACTGGTCAGATTATGTGACCAATACATCTGTTCTTGAACAGGCAGCAATCACAAGTATTGAGGCCATGCTACTGAGAATACAGCTGCATTGGGCAGGGCACGTCTCCAGGATGAAGGACCAACCACCGCCTCCCTAAGATCCTGCTCTATGGTGAACTTGCCACCAGCTGCTGCAAGAGAGGAGCTCCGAAGAAAAGATACAAGGACTCCCTGAAGCAACAACTCAGCCTTGGCCATATTGACCACCATAACTGGTCTACTCTGGCCTCCAATCGGGAGGCCTGGAGACAGACCATCTATAACGCTGCTGATACTTTTGAGAAAGCACGCAGGATCACCCTTGAGGAGAAAAGACAATGCAGAAAGAATCGAGCCTTGCAGAATATACCATCCAAGGAGTCTTTCTGCTGTGCCTTTTGCAACCGGACTTGCCTTTCTCGTATTGGCCTTTTTAGCCACCAACGCGCTTGCAAGAAACGTGGGTAGAGCCCTTCCCAAATCTTCGTTTGCAAAGCCTAGCCATGATGATGATAGAGATCCAGATACTCATAGAAAGAGTAAATTGGGAGGAGGTATAATGCTGTAAATTGAGGAGAAGGAGAAAAAGCAAGGGATTGTAATGTTGCAAAGGGGATGAGCTGGAAGAGATACAAATGTTATCCCCCTCCTTTCCACACACCCTCCTCCCCCCATATAACACTGGGGTAGGAACAGATAAAGAGGACACAGAGCAAAACAAAAAACATATGGAAAATGAGATTTTAGTCCTATTGCAGGCCAGATTTTGGGACATCCCCAGGAGGAAATACAGATGTCTTTAAAACAAGCAGTGGGGGTAGAGCTCTGCCAGTTTTTGTACATGTTCCTTTTTGCTGCTCAGGGCTTGTTGAGTTGGAAATCCTGGAGGAATATATCAGCTTTTGGCAACAGTCAGGCTGACTCATAACCTTACTGGGGGGATAGCAGGCTGTACTGAAAACTTTTTTACTGCAGAATGGTGTTAGAGAAGGAGAGAGAAGAGGAATGGGCAGGAAGTTTGGGGGTCTGAAAGGATCCACCCCCGCCTTCCTTGGCCTGAATATGCTACTTGTTGACAGGAGGGGTCAATTAGAAGATGTAAATGTTATGCTTATGAGAGGGTTTTGACAATGAGGGAAGGGGACCATATACACTATGATGTCCCCTTCCCTTGCTGGAATGAGATATATTTTGTAACTTAAATGCACAAGTAACCTTTTCTGAGATTTCCTTGCAGCTTCACATTCCACTTGAGACAGGCTGGAAAGCTCAGATGTGCCTGTTAATGGGTAAACTATGAGAGGACATCAGAGAAAATATTCCAGATGCCATTTCAAATACGGTGATCCTCACAGGCTTCAGGAAAACCAGGTAAGGCAAAGAATGTGTCTCCATTTAAGAGAGAAAGCTCAGAAATGAGAGCTAAACCATTAAGAGTAAACCAATATCCTATAAAGACAGATGCACAAAAAAGTCTGGAGCCATTGATAAACACACTCTTAACAATTCAGCATACTCAGACAATGTCAGTCTGAATTTTAGATGCCTTCCTACTGGTAAAGAAACCTTGTTCTCAATAATATAGATTAGTACAAGACTTAAGAGCAATCAATCAAATAAGCACAAATACACACCCAGCTGTACCAAATCCTTATACTTTGTTAGCCTCGGTGCTTGAAACAAACTCCTGTTTTACTGTTTTGGCCTTAAAGGATGCTTTCTTTTGTATCCCAATAGACGAGCAAAGCCAAGCAATCTTTGCCTATGAATGGGAGAATCCTATGACTGGAAGAAAGGTGCAGCTCTGTTGGATGGTGCTCCCCCAGGAATTCAAAAATAAGTCCACTTTATTTGGTGATTTTGACAAAAGAACTGGAATGATGGGAATAAGGTAATGGTGTTCCTCTTTTATAGTCTGTAGATGACATCCTAATTGGAGCTGACAAGGAACAAACCTGCTTGGAAGTGACCATAGGCCTGCAGAACTTTTTGGGACTTGCTGGGTATCGAGTTTCAAGGAAAAAAGCTCAGATTGCATAAAGATAAGACGAATACCTTGGCTTTAAGGTATCAAAAGGACAATGAGCTCTGGGAGAAGACAGAAAAGAAGCAATATGCTGAATTGCACTTCCTAAGACTAAGAGATAACTAAGAGGATTTTTGTTAGTGGCAGAATTTGGCCCCATATAGATCCCAAATTTTGGACTAATAGCCAATCCTCTTTGTTTGGCCATCAAAGGCCCTGAAGAATTGCTGGAATGGACCTGAGAGTGTTGAACCAGCTTTGACATCCTAAAAAGGATGCTCATGGGAGCGCCAGCTTTAGGTCTTCTAGATACAACTAAACCCTTTCTGTGATATGTGTGTGAAAGGCAGCAAGGAGCCTCTGGGGTGATGACACAACTGATGGAAGTTGGCAAATGCCGGTGGCATCCTTTTCCAAGCAGCTGGATGGTCAGCATGCTTATGGGCTGTAGCAGCCACCACACCAATGATACAGGAGGCCGAGACATTCACTTTGGAGTGGCCTCTAACTGTGCTGGTCCCATATGCCATGCTGGCTGTTTGGAATCTAAAGAGACATCACTGGATCTCTCCAAGCCAATTGGCAAAATACCAAGTTGTGCCAATGGACCAAGGAGAAGTAGACATGTATGTGACATCAACTTTAAATGAAGCCACTTTGCTCCCTACTGAAAAGCAAGAGCCTTTTCAACATGACTGACTGCACACCATGGAGCAGGTAAATGCAGATTTAAGGGTTGAACCTGTACAAAACATGGACTGATGGCAGCAACTTTGTGCAATGCAGGTAAGTTACCCCTGGAGGATGGAAAAGAGCAGTGGCATCCCTGGGGTCTGTGGCACAGATCCCTGGGATATATTGCCCCATGGATCATCACCCCATGCCTGCAGGTTCCCTGCCCTCGCCCAGCATGTTCCCTTCTTGGGTATGTAGCACAAACACTGGTGGTGAGGGTGGCAGTGCCCATCCTGCTGATGGTGAGGGTGGCAGTGTCCCCCGTCCTGCCCCACACTGGAGGTGCTGGACAACACCACCGCTCTCCCCTATCTCAGCCAAGACTTCAACTGTCAGGAGCAGGCTGAGAACAGTGACAGCAAGCTGAAGGAGGTGGGTGGTCCTGCAGCCACCCAGCAGTGAGGGCAGGGCCCAGTGACAGCAGGATAGTGCCATGGGACAGCGGGAACAGGGTACAGGTGCTGGAATGTGGCTGGAGCTCCTGCAGCGCAGCAGAAGCTGAGAGCCCCTGGGTGGGGAGGGGCTGGCAAATAAAGCACTCAGTCCTTGAGGCACTGGAGTTGGCATCCACCAGTTCATGGTGGTCATGCTGCCCCCGCCTCCATCCCTGCTGTGCCCCCAGCCGTTCAGTGTCCCCAGCCCCAGCACCTTGGTGCCACCATCTCCATTCCTAGGGTACCCTAAGCCCCTCTATATCCTTGTCCGCAGCCCTGTGGTGCACCCATTCCCATCCCTGTGGTGCCCCCAGCCCCATGCTCCCCCCAGCCTCAGCCCCATGCTGCCCCCCACCCCTTGATGACCCTGTACCCGCACATGGTGCCGTCTCCATTCCTATGGTGCACCAAACCCTGTCCCTGTCCCCACAATGCCCCCAGCCCCTTGATGCCCCCATCTCCATCTCCATGGTATGCCTAGCCTTGTTCCTTGTCCCTGTGGTGCCCCTAGCCTTGTGGTGCCCCCCATCTTCACACCTATGTTGCTCCAAGTCCCTCGATGTGTCCAGCCCCATGCCCAGGGTGCCCCCTCCCCATCCCAGACCCTCAATGTCCCTGTTCCCAACCCCACAGTGCCTCCAGCGCCAAGCTGCTTAGGGTGGGGGTACAGAATGGACAGACAGCTGGACGCAGGGGGATCCCTGCTTCTCCGTTTATTAACAAGCAGCCTTCGTTTAAAAAAAAAAACAAACAAAAACAAACACAGACATACAGACAGGCAGAGGCGGCCCAGAGGGGCGGGGAGGCCGCCCGCCCATGGTTCGTTTGGTTCCTGACACCAGAGAGGTTCAAGTAGCCGAAAAGGTTCAAGTTCACCATAAGGCACTTTAAAGCCATGATGGGAGCGGAGCTCCCCCAGCCCCATCACCCCTCCCGGCACCCCATGGCAAGGGACAGATGTGGGGGCCGGGCAGCGCTGGCGGGTGGCAGCGGAGGGGCCGGGGAAGGGAATATATTACATCATCTTTTTAAATATAGATAAAACTCTTATTGTAGACAAATAGTGCCGGTCCCCTACTCCCCCGGGGAGGCTGCGCCCTGCGGGGGGCATGTGCAAAGGGCAGAGGGGTGACCGTGGGGGCCCGGCCACCCCAGGGAGGTGGGTCCCACAGGGCCGGGGGGTTTCGGAAGGGGGATGGGGCCGGGGAGGGGCCGGGGCTGCCCCGCACCCGGGTGGGCTCACCCGAATAGTGCAACCAAGAGAAAGCAGCCGGGAGTGCAGGGGCGAGGGGGGCTCGCCGGGGGGGGCTGCTCAGAGTGGGGAGAGGGGGACAAGCTATGCACAGCGCAGGGCAGTTGGTACCCCCACACCGGGGAGAGCACAGGAGGCTCTCTCCAGCTGGGGGGGATCTCGGTCCATGGGTGCCCCTGCCCAGTCCTGGCATCCACGAGGGGAGTTTGGTGAGAGGACACCCAAATCCCAATCCCCCCTTCACCCACCTGGGCATGACCAGGTAGGCCTGGGCACGGCGGGGGGTGGTAGGGACCCCCCACCCCCTTGTGCAAATCGGCCGGGGGGGTTTCCCCCTTTGCATAACTGGGAATGAACCGTGACGGGAAAAACGGGAACAGAAACCCTGGTGGGCACAGCACAGCTCGGCACGGCACGGCCATTGCATCGGCCCTATGCCGTCTCCACCGGCACAGCGCCATCTGGTTGTGGCCCTTCCTCGCCCTCCGGCTCCTCTTCCTCCTCCTCGGGCTGCCCTGGAGCCCAGTAGCGGGCGATGGAGAGGCGCAGCCCCTCCAGTCGCCCGTTGGAGAGGTCGAGGCCAGGGGGACCGGCGGGCGGCGGGGGCGGCTCATCGCGGCGGCGGCGGCGGGTCCGCACCTCCAGGCAGTTCTGGCCCTTGAGGTGCCGCTGCAGGTGGTCATCCTTGGCGAAGGCCTTGTGGCAGAGGTTGCACTCGTAGGGCCGGGCGCCAGTGTGCAGGTGCATGTGGTTCTTCAGGTCATAGCTGTGCAGGAAGCGGGCGCTGCAGTGCTGGCAGGAGTAGGGCCGCTCACCCGTGTGTTTCCGCATGTGGATCTTCAGCTTGTCGTTCCTGGAGTTGGGACACACAGGGAGACATTGGCATGGGGCAGCTGGCACGGCACCCAGCCACGGCAGGCAGGGAAACGGTGCTGACAGCCCCATAGCAGGGATGCTCTGCAGGCCACAGTCCAGCTGCTTGAGGGGTAGGGGACCATTTTGCAGCTGCATGGCTGGGATGCAGTTTGGTGATGCAGGAGAGGTGCAGGGGGGACGCTGCTGGGTACTCTAGGATGGTCTGGCAGTGCTTACAGAGGGCCGAAGACCCCACCCCAGACCTGCACCACACCATGCCAGGCTGGCAGAGGGGGTGCCATGGAAGATGCCAGCAGGTATCAGGCCTGGGTTGCTCTGGCAGCACAGAGTGCAGAACACCCCACAGATCTGACTGCACCAGCATGGATGGCAGGGGGGCACTACAGGGATGCTGCCAGTACCTTGGGTCAGTCTGGCAGCACTCACGAGGTGCAGAAGGCCCCATGAACCTCACTGCACCACAACAAGGGCTGGCAGGGGGTGCCATGGAGGATGCCATTGGGTATCCTGGGTTGATCCAGAGCACCCATGGGGTGCTGAAGTCCCCTTGGATCTGCACCGCACCAGTAGGACTGGCAGAGGGGTACTGTGGAATATGCCACTGGGTACCCCAGGTTGGTCCAGCAGCACTCAGGGGATGCAGAACAGCCCATGGACCATGCCAGAGCTGTGGCCAGGCCTCAGCAGGACTGGCAGGGGGAGTGTCATGGGGGATGTTACTGGGTACACTCCCGCAGGGAGGGTCCATCCAGCAGCACTCACCGTGTGAATCGGACCCCGCACACCTGGCAGGCGAAGGGCTTCTCACCCGTGTGTGTGCGCATGTGGCGAGGCAGCTTGCCGGCGCCGTGGATGACCTTGTGACAGACAGGGCACTCCTGGGGCATCTGCGAGCGGCGCTTGCGCACCAGCTTGTCAGGGCTATCCAGCCCAGGTGTCAGCGACTCATGGTGCAGTGAGCTCAGGTATGCCATCAGGTCGGGGTCAATGGCATCATCGTCAGAGGTGGCCTCCTCAGGGGACAGGGGGGGCTGGTAGGGGAAGGGGAAGGAGTGTGGGGGCAGCTCTTCCTCCTCAGGCAGCTCAAAGCTGTCATAGGGCAGGGGCAGCCCCTCGGGCAGGGGGGGTGAGGGCAGTTGTGGGGGCGGTGGGGGGCTGCCACAGCCCTCAGCCACCTCAGCGGGTGGCTCCTCAGCATGGTTGTTGAGCCGGGCACCGGGGGCTTGCAGGAACTTGCGGGTCTTCTTGCTGCGCCGGGCGGCGGGGCGGGGTGGTGGCGGGGCAGGCAGCTCACCCTCGGGGAGGGTGGCGAAAGCCTCCAGGTAGCGGCGAGCACGTTCACAGTCGCTGTCATCGGGGCCAGGCGCCTCCAGCCCACTGCCCTGCAGGATCTCCACACAGGCAGCGATGACACAGGGGATCTCCAGCAGCCGGGCAGCGCGCAGCACCTCGCCCATGTTCGCGCTGCTGATGGTCAGTGTGGCTGTGTAGGCAAACTCCAGCAGCGCGCCCAGCGCCTCTGGCCCCACAAAGTCCAGCTCGCAGACCTCCTGCCCTGGCCCTGGCCCTGCAAAGAGCTTCTTGAAGTAGCGGCTGGAGGCAGCCAGGACAGCGCGGTGGGTGCGGTACTCCAGCCCCTGTGTCTTGATGGTGACATCGCAGAGCAGCCCCAGCTGCCGCTGCTCGTTCAGGCAGCTCAGCAGCTCGCTGCTGTGCTCAGGGAAAGGGATGCCAATGAGGTCGTCCTCTGGGCTGGCCATCATCCTCACCTGTGGGAAGGACAGGATGCTGCCTGAGCAGTGCACAAACCACCTGGGAGACAGTGCTTGGAGGAAACACTGCGGTTGGAGCATCGCTGTCGCAAAGCCAGGGCACAAGGAACCCTCCATGCACGTGCTGGGTGGCACTAGGGTTTCAATGGGACACTAAACCGGGGCAGGCTCAGGGCCTGTGGTCTGCCCTCAGCCCCCTCTGTGCTCTGTCGAGGTTGGCGGGTGCAGCCCTCCCGCCGCAGCCCCCCGCGCTTCCTCCATCAACACTAGCACCAGCCACCCGCACTGCCACAGCAAAGGGGGAAATCTCAGCGTGGCGCCTTTGAACGTCGCCAAGGTGCAGCACTTCCTGTGTCAGCCCACCCACCACCACCCCCGGCTCCCCCGGCAAGGCCAGGCACAGCCACCAGCTCCCAGCCACCCCCACCCCCATCCTGGGAACGCGGGCCTCACCGGCAGCAGGCGTGGGTGGGCAGGCGAGTGCCGGGAAGAGGGCCCTGAGGGCCGGGGGCCGCCCCGTGGAGCCCAGCCGGGCTGGGAACGGGGGCCACGCTTCCTGCCACCGCAGATTAGGATCAGCACCCGCGCCGCCGGTTCCTGCCCCCGCTCCTGGTGGGGACTGGGCCCCCTCCCTCCCCCTGTGCCCAAGCCCGGGGCCACTCCTCGCCCAGCCAAGCCCAGTCAGGCCTTTCCCACGCTGTGGCTGGCAGGGCTTGGCTTTAGACCTAACCCAGCACTGCTGGCACTCACACCAGGTCCCCACAGCACAGCACCAGGGACCCACACGTTCCTGTGGAGCCAGCACAGGTGGGTGATGGAGCCTGTGGGAAGGGGGAGCCCATGACCCCACAACAACCTGCAGGCAGGGTACAGACAGCAGAGGCAGCTCCAGGGCTGCAACCTGTCTTGAGACACCATGCACAGCCATAGGCAATGCCCTTGCAGCCAGACGGGGCTGCTTGCTGACACTGGCACGGCTGGGTGACACCTGCATGGGAGTCCAGTGACTGCAGCTTGAGGGAGGCAGAGGCAGGCACCAGCACTGCCACGTCGTGGCTCTCGGTGCTGTCAGAGCCGTGCCATGCCAAGCCAAGCCATGGTGGATGGCAGCATGTGGCACTGGCCATTGCTGAGCCGTACAAGGTAGTGCTGAGCCACGCCAGGCCCATCCACCCCAAACCCACCACGGGTGCCAAGCCACACTGTGCCGTCGGCGGGCGGGTGTGGGGGGACGTGCCCCCTCTTGCCCATGTAGGGGCGGCGCGGCCGACGGCCCCCGGCACAGGGGCCCATCCCCAAGCCGGCCACTCCCTGCGCTTGGGCAGCCGCCAGCTGGGGCTGCCTCGGCAGGCAGCTGGGAACGGCCCCGGAGCAACTGGCTGCGGAGCCGCCCCAGCCGCTGCCGAGCAGGCCCGACCGGCAGGGCAGGCAGCAGCCGCCCCTGAAACTGGGAGCCGGGCAGTGCCGACCGCCTGGGATGGGATGCTGGCGCCAGCGCCCGTGGCCGAGCCCCCCTCCTTGGCAGGAACCCATCCCACCACTGGCCGAGGTCCCCTCTGCCTGCTGAGGCGGGGGTGAGCGGATTAGGGGTGATTAAACCATCAGGGCCCTGGGAGCCAACAGGCAGCGACAGCCCCTGGTGGGATTAAGGCAGGATTAGCCGCGGGGGCAGGATTACGGGGGGGGGGGCAAGTACCCCATGCCACAGCCTGGGCAGCTGGAGAGGGATGACAGGGACGTGGCACCTGCCAAGGGTGGCCCAGAGCCCCACAGATCCCCAGGGCTGTCACGGGCAATGGTCACGGGATGGGGTGGTACTGTGTCCTCTGTTGCTGCCTCCCCTTGCGATGGCACGACAGCCTCCCTCCTGCCCCAGTCCCCACAGCATCTCCAGCCCCACAAGACACCTGGGTGCTCACAGGACTCTGACAGCACCCACAGACACGTCTGCAGGGGTGCCTGGGCGCAGGGCAGCAGCTGAGGCCCTGTCATACTCCAGCGAGGTGGCAGGGTGCTCTGAGGAATGGGCACAGCCATCAGCCTCACCATGTCACAGTGCAGGCAGGCACAGCCTCAGTGCTGCCAATGCCACAGAACATGCCAGCACAGGCAGGTGACAGAGCTGGGACCCCCGTGAGCAGCCGCTGGGCCGGATGCCAGCGGACACAGCAGAGCTGGGGCAGGGCGGGGGGGGTGCCAGTGCCGGCGGGCAGGAGGGGGATTTTCCATCACACCAAACCACCCGTTACGGCTCCTCCGCTGACACCCCTCCCCGCACATCCTCCTCACTGGAGCGAAGTCACATGCTGAGCGGGTGCTGCCGTCGAGGAGATCACCGCAGCGATAAGGAAACGGTGGGGGGACGAGGTGTGAGGGGGCCGGAGCCACCCCCAGCCCCCCAGTATTCCCTGGCCACTGCCAGAGATGGTGCCTGGGGGAAAGCAGGTAGCGATGCCCATGCCCCGCCATGCCGGGGCTTTCTCAGTTACATCAATGCTGTGACCAGGCACGTTTCAGCTGCAGCAGCCTCAGAGGGCTGAGGAAAGGGGGGGGTCGCTCCCCACGCTGAGCTGGCTCCCGTGCAGGGCAGGTTGGCAGCAGGAACAATGCTTGCCTGGGTCACCCTGACATCCCTCAGCCGGCCCGCGCTGCCTGGCACAACCATGGCCAGGCCCCATCCATCTGCCAGCTCCCTCCATCCTGGGGGCCTGGCCACCCCAGCAGAGCCATGCACAGTGGGGTGGGGGTCCAGCCCTGCAGCACCCATCCTGCATGGGGACAGGCTGTGTCCCATGCCACCAAGCCAGGATGGCACCCTGCTCAAGGGCACAGTGCCAGCCTGCGCTGAGCACTGGCCACAGCTTGGGGACAGTGGAAGATATGGGGTGGGAGGGGGTGTCTGGGGGGGTCTCCCCACCTGCTCCCTCGTGAGGAAGCGGGGCAGAGGTCCTGGGGAGCACAGACCCCCCCCTAGGCTGCTGCCAAGTGCTGCTGCTTTTGGTCACAAGTCACAAATGCTGTCGAGGGACTTCATAGCCACACTGGGGAGAATGAGTCACCCAGGAAGAGGAGTGCAGAGCAGTGTTGCCCCAGCCCCCAGCCCTGCAGGGCCCCTCGCCCTTTGGGAGTTGGGATGGGAGCCCAGGTGTCTGGGCTGTGCAACCTCCCCCCCACCACCGCTGCCCTGCCTGAAGCCAACTGGGAGCAGCAGCGGCCCTGGCGCAGGTGGGCACAGCGAGGGCGGTGGCGTGGCTGCGGGGCAGGGGTTGCGCAGCCCCTCTGCCTACCCTGAAGGTGGCAGCTGGGGCCTGGCCAAACTGGTGACCCTGTGGCAGGCACATACCAGGGGTCCCATTGCTGGAGGGTGTGGGAAAAGCGGCACTCCCCTTTGTCTTTGCTCGTTCTCTTCTTCTTCTTTCAAAGGGAAAATGGTTTGGAGAGGGAAGAGGATAAACAGAGTCCCCCAGCCCACAGCACTGAGAGCAACCCCTGCGGCACCACTCAGCTCCCCGCTGGCCGGCTCACACGGAGAGCTCCCAGTGCCCGAGCACCTTCAGCGTCTCTCAGGCACAGCCGTTTGCTGCCGCCATGGCACATCAGCCATTGGTACTGAGGAAGGGGGTCGGAGCACTGTGGCCTAGGGCTGCCTCAGCACCCAGCTGGCACCATGCGGGGGCCCAGTGCCAGCCCAGCACGATAGCTGCCATGGAGGCTGGGCACAGGCATCCCTGTCACAGCAGAGCGGGACCAGCAACATTGCCAGTGCCAATCCCAGCACCTGCAGCAGGGACAAGAAGCAGAGTCCCCACGCCATCCCCCGACCCACTGGCACTGTGCTGGCATCCTAGTCCTCTCCTGCTGCCAAAACCTTTCCTGCCGCCACGTCTGGCTGTCTGACATTGCAACTGTGGGGTGTGGGCCCTGCTCTGCCAAGCCAAGGTGACCCAGATCTCGCCACCTGTCCCTTCCTGTCCCATCCTATCTCATCCTAACCTACCGGAGCAAAGGCAGCGTAGGGCTCAGACGACACCAGCATCCCAGCAGCCTCTCGGCTGGCACTGAAGCAGCTGGCCCAGCTTTTTTAGAGCCCAGTGGTACCACGCTGGCTCCCCAACCCCCAAACCTTCCCCACCAGTGATGGCGGAGCGGGTGCGTGGCTCACCTGGCCCGTGTCCTGGCGTGGCTCGGCGCTACGTCGCAGCCGGCTGGCGGCCTGCAAGCGGCAGGGAGGGGAAGGCACGGTGCTGTGTGAACTTGGCCCCGCTCCCCACTGCACTTGAGCTCAGGATCCCACCTCAAAAGGAGTCGACGCCCACACCCCGGGTCACGCACCTCCCAGCCCCGCTTCCCAGAACACACACGGCATTAACCCTTTGTGGCCGGTGCTGTGTCGCGGGGCACCAACCCAGAACCAGGCATGGGGCATCCCCTGGCCCACTCCCACGGGAGAAAACGAGAGCACCACCAGGAGAGACACCCCATAGCATAAGCATCCCTCTCCTGCCACCGGCATTGCCTCCAGGCCACCTGCCCCTGCCCCCCATGCTGAGGCATCACACAGGCCCTCACCTTCTGTGCCACCCCAAGGCAGGGCGCTGGGCGCTGGGTGCTCCCCGCTGGCCGTGGCCGGCCTAGCCGAGCCAGGAGGGCGCCTGCGCTTGGCGGGAGTGGGGCTGCCACCACAGGGCTGGGCTGGGTGAGCATGCTGCGGCCTGCCCGGCCAGCCCCGGAGCCACCCCTCGGCCCTACGGATCTGTGTCCTGCTCTACCCTTGGAGCAGGTTCCCAAGGTCCCACAGGGAATGTGGGATGCAACGACAGCCTGGCTGGACTGTGCTGCCTGGTCCCCTCCACTCCCCCAGGCTGGGGCACCCATGGGCCCCCCTGGCCAGGCTGCAGGTTCGTGCAATCCCCCCCATAATTACACCCTCTGTGTCCCCAGCTAAACAGCAATTAGCAGCCCAGAGAGCGCGCCCCACACCCCACTGCTGGCACCAGCAGCCGCCCAGGCCACCCACGCCAGCCCAGCCAGGGGCACCTGCACCACAGCACCCTGGCATGGCCCCGGATAGGCCCCGGGCACCGTGCCGGTGCTGCTGACAGCAGGAGGCCAGCAGAAAGGGGAAGAGCCCCATACTAGCCGGGTAGTTAAGGGCCTCCAGCCCAGCCCTAGCAATGCTCACAGAGAGCTGGGTTGTGCAAGAGCCCACAGGCGGGCAGAAGGGATGGCAGGCGGGCAGAGGGGCAGTGCCAGCATGCCCTGGCATGGCATCCCACCTCCCCCATCACCATGGACTGTGTGCTGGGCAGGAGCCGGCTGTGGGGCCGCGGGTCAGCCCAGTGCCTGGAGCACAGGCAGCACCCAGCCTGGGGCAGCAGGGCTGCAGGCAGCACTGCCCACTGCACTGCCACACTGCTCTGGGCTG